TGTTTGTGAAGCTGTAAAAAGCTTTTTTCATTTAGGATATTTGTTACCTTCTTGGAAACAGTCTCTTATAATTTTTATTCCTAAAGTGAAAAATCCTAGTGATGTTAGTCAATTTCGACCCATAAGTTTATGCTCTACAATATACAAAATTATTGCTAAAATCATTGTCAAGACACTTAAAGGTTACCTTCCCAATATTATTTCTCCAATTCAATTTGCTTTTATTGGAAAACGATAAATAGTTCATAATGTTGTTCTAGCTCATGAGTTCATTCATCTTCTTAAAAATAAAAGACGTGAAAAACAAAAATATATGACCATTAAGCTAGATATGACTAAAGCTTATGATCGAGTTGAGTGGATTTATATTCAAATGTTTTTTTAAAAAAAAATTGGGTTCATGATACTTTTATTAACTAGATTATGCAATGCATCACTACCCTAGCATATAATTTTAACATTAATGGGTACATAGAGGGAGAAGTAAAACCTAGTTTTACTAGAGGAATAAGACAAGGAGATCCACTTTCTTCATATATTATATTGTTATATGTGGAAGGTCTCTCCAGACTCTTAAATCAAGCGGAATTATGTGGGGATATACAAGGTTTAAGCTTAAGTAGAGGTGGGCCTACGATAATCATTTATTTTTTTGCTGATGACTCCTTTATCTTTTGTAATGCTAATATTCAGAATGCTCAAAAAAATTCTGAAATGTTAAAGATATATGAAAAGTGTTCGGGCCAAAAAGTGAACTTCATTGAATCTGCTATTTTCTTTAGTAAAAATTGTTCTAATATTGAAAAAGATAATATTAGTGAAGTGGTAGGGCAACTACAAAGGAATAACTTAGGATTGTATTTGGGGCTGCCTGCGGTAGTTGGAAAATTAAAGAAAAAAATGCTAGAGTTTATTAAAGATAGGGTGAAATTCAAAATAAAAGGATGGAAAAATAACTTCTTAAGTCCGGCTGGAAAAGAAGTGATGCTTAAATCTGTTTTGTCTGCTATTCTTGTTTTCAATTTCCAAATTCATCAAGTAAAGAGATTACAACTATGTTATCTAATTTTCGGTGGGGGCATGATAAGGATAAAAGGAAGATGCATTTTGAAAAATGGGAGATCCTTTGTTCAACAAAGTCTAAAAGGGGCATAGGCTTTAGAGAATTAAAGTCATTTAATCAAGCTTTGTTGGCAAAGCTTGCTTGGAGAATTTTGACCCAAGAAGATTCTTTACTGTTTAGAATCCTGAAGAGTAAATATTTTCCACCTACTGCTTTCCTTAAAGACACTTTTTCGTCTACTAGTTCTTGGATATGGAAAAGCATTATTTGGGGTAGAGATCTTTTACAAAGGGCATTAGATGGAGGATAGGCTGTGGAGAAAGTATTAAAGTATGGACAGATCCATGGATTCCTAACTCTAGTGGTTTCAAACCTAATCTAATGCATGCTCCACTAGAGGTCGAGTTGAGAATGAATGATCTTATAGAAAAAAGTGCCGATGCATGGAAACTGGATGAACTTCAAAATTGTTTTTGACCAAATGGCGTTAATACAATAGTATCTATACCTATCTAAACTACAGATTCACCAGATAAGATTATTTGGCACCATAAAAAGTCTGGAAAGTATGAGGTTAAATCACGATACAACTTAGTTAGGAAAATGTTCATATGTGAACAAGTGAGTAATGAGAAAGCCCAATCACTTTTTATGGTCTATGATTATTAAAAACAAGTATAAGCATTTTATTTGGAAATGTATATTGAATGTATTATTGGTCAACCACGTGATTTCTAAGAGAATGAGGCATATGTCTAGAGTGTGTAAGGGTTGTTGACTTAAGAATGAAACGATTGATCACAAGTTCTTTAGATTCCCTAGTGCCCAATTAGTTTGGAAAATTTGCTCCATTCATTGCCCTAATTTCGAAAATACTATGAATTTTGCTGGATGGTGGGATGATCGTTTTACTAATGCTAAAACATATCCTGAGTCTATTGATTTTTTAAAATTAAGTATTTCTATTATTTGGCAAATTTCGAAGGCTAGAAATTCAAAGCGTTTCAATGAAGAAATTTCTGATCGTAATGATATTGTTAACAAAGCTCTTTTTGATTTTCATGAGTATGAAAGCAATTTGTTCCTTCATTTTCCCCTATAGTTATACCTGCTTGTAATGATGATAGAAATATAACTATGGTACAAGATGGTATTGTTGTGTTTGCAAATGCTGGTATGCATAAGGGAAAGAAGACGACAAAAATTGGCGTGGTGGTTTTGGATAGCTACGGTAACCTGCTTCATACCTTTGTTCCCCAATTCAATATGTTGGGAAATCCATCACTGCTGAAGCAATGACAATTCGTATGGCACTGGAAAATGCTAGAGAAAAGGGGTGGACAAAGGTGCAAATCTTATCAGATGCGAAAAATGTGGTGGATATGGTACTACAAAGAACTATAGTCTCATGGGAGATAGAGACTCTAAGTGAAGACATTTGGACCCTTATGAAGTGCTTTGCGATGGTCAATGTAAAGCATATCCAAAGCTCTTGTAACTTAGAAACACATAATTTAACAAAGTTTTCTATTTCATTAGTATGCAAAGTTGTTTGGCTTTCTAATTTCCCTAGATGGATTGTAAGTGATGCTATCACATCTTTCAACTCTTTGAACCTTTTTATGCATTAATATAACTAGCGTATTGGCTGTAAAAAAAAAGTTAATACCTTTTGTTTGGAAGGAAAAAAATGTGCATTATCCATAAAAATGAAATTGTTCAATTTCATATTTATTCAATATAATAAATGATTCAATATTATTAATTGATGCTCCATGAATTATTTTATTTTCTTATATTTTTTTAATTATCTATATCGTATATACACACAAAATTAAACATATGCAAAGCGATATGATACTTTTTCATAACAAAAATTCATAATTTTTTTTCTCATTTTCACTATTGTTTTCATCTATAATTATTTTATAGAATCTAATACATATTAATAAAAGAAATCATAATAAAAAATATGATATGATACTTTTCTATGGTCAATATTTTAAATTACGTATCTTTCATTTACTTGTGTTAATAGACTATTGGAGAAGACAAAGGAAAAACTAATGTCCAATTTATTAGCGAACATAAGCATATCAGACCATCTCTAACCCTACTCTATTTTTCTCTTCATTCTCTATATTTGGAGAGTAAAATAGAAAATGTCCTCTCCAACTTTTTTATCTTCTACTCTCCAATTATAGAGAGTTGAATAGTAGTTCTCCAAATTTGGAGAACTACAATTCATACTCTCTATTTCACTTTTTGAATATTATATTATTATTTCTATTTTTTTTGTAATTAGCATATTATTATTTATATAAGACTATTAATTAAATCTTTAATATATGCAATTCTTTTAAAATTTAATATAACATTTTTTAAAAAAAAATAATTTTATATATACTACTTTCATCTCGAATTAATAATGTTTTAAATATTTTTTTAATTTTTCTTACTTTGTGATACAATTTGATGTTATATTAATTTCCACTATGAAGAATGCAAAAAATTTAAATGATAAGATAACAATTTTAATTTAAAAATATAATACATAAAACAATAATTTAAATACAAGATAACAATAGATACAATGCATAACATAATCATTTTAAAAATCACAACAATAATTTACTAATTCGGTAATTCATTTCTAGATTTAACAATATTCATAAAAGGAATTAGTGTATGATTTAAAGAAACTGTGATTATGATTGCGGTTTGCTTGTTGATTTCTTTTTTAAATTATTCGTAGTAGTTCTTTAGAAATTTAGAATAATATATAATTAAATACTAAAAAAAATTTAAAAATAAAATTCTATATTACATGAAATTATATAGGATGATTATTCAAAAAAAAAGATTTATATGATCGAATAAGAAAACAAAAAGAATATACATATATATATTTGTCAATTTCTAGCTACTTAATATTTTAAATTTTGCCATGATTGAATTAAAGGTACATTACTTATGATATACTTTTTATATATCTACCGAATATTGTTGCCCCAATAAATTTATGATATGGTCTATCATATTAGTATCAATCATAAAATAAATGAATAAATCTTCTTTTTAGTATTAAATATTTTTAATGATATCTTCTAATTGAGCACACCCGATATCACTTTGTAAGAATATACTACATTGTTGTTTTAATTAAATACATAAAGTTTGCATTTTTTAAGCTGATAATGAAATAGTACGAGAATATATGTAAAGTTATTAATAGTAAAATTAATTTTGAGTAGAACAATTTTTTTAATTGTAATTTGTTATTCATCACATTTTAAGTGTCTTCATTTGTTAAAAACTAACCTTTTCATTGTCTCTCTTATATATATATATATATATATATATATATATATATATATATATATATATATATATATATCTGAATCCAAAATTACTGATGTGGCACCTCTATATGGCCTCCATTTGTTTCTTCTTTTTTTTCTTTTTTTTTCATAAAATATTTTTTTTATTAATTATGAAATCCAATCATATTTAATTATTGTAATCATATGAAATGAGTTACAAAAAAAACCCATCTATTGACATTCTCTACTTAAATAGCATGTCTTTTCAATTCCCTTTTAACTATTTTTATGATTTATTTTATCTATAAATACCAATCATCTATGGAGATGTTGCATGTTCATTTTCATTTTTTCATTCTTTCTTTTTAGTAGTATAATCTTTTAATTTTATTTTCTTCATCTTTTTCTTCATCAATCATGTAGTTAAGTTTTAAATAAGAAGACATAGAAAAGATTATGTCACAATATGATCTTCACTTTGATAAAAATCATCGGTATATTCTTGAAAAATTCACCATATTATTTGGTACAAGTTCAACAAAATCATTTTGTTCATATTTTCAGGAGTACCCAATATTTCTTGATTTTTTCTTTCATTCCCTAAGTCATTTTACTCAAATCAAGATCATCACCTGCCATACATAATTTCAAATAAGCATCAAGTTTACATATATCCTCAAAATGAACGTTACAAGTAACGTACCGTGAACCTGAAACTTTCAAAGTGAGCTCATAAAATTTTTCAAGAAACTTTGTGACATTCCTCACATTAGCCCAAACTTCATATTGAATTGAACCTGCGATACTTGCATTTTCACAAACATCAGTCGCAAGAAAAAGATTAAAATTACCATCATAAAGATCAAACCTCTCAAAATCCTTCTCAAACTTTTCTGCTGTGTCCAACATCAAATAGATGGAATTCCACCTAGTATGGACATCTAAAGACAACATCTTATCACATTCTATCTTTTGCATTTCAACACATTTCAAGAAGTTTCTTGTCCTTGAAGAAGATGATCTAACATATTTCACCATTTGTCCCACCCGGTTGATAGAATGATCAATTTCTGTCAAACCATATTGCACAATTAAATTAAGTATATGAGCAATACATCTCACATGGAGATGCTTACCTTCCATCATATTAGTTCCCGCATATCTAATTTTTTGGACAACTCTTAAACCGCAACATCATTTAAAGAGGCATTATCAACTGTAACAATAAAGTTATTATTCAATTTCCATTCAAGTAAACAATTACTAATAGACTCAGCCAAATGCTCACCTTTATGACTAGTGATAGGACAAAAACTCAATATTCTTTTATGAAGTACCCAATCCCTATCAATAAAGTGAGCAGTCAAACACATATGATTGATTCTTTTCACCGAAGTCCATGTGTCTGTTGTGAGACAAATTCTTGATTGTATTTCTCTTAAAGATTGTTTCAAATTTATTCTCAATTCACCATAAACTTCATAACAATCCATTATTATGGTTCTACGAGAAGGAATATGAAACAAAGGTTGGACTTTACTAATTATCTTCTTTAAGGCTTATTTTTTAACAAAACTAAAAGGTTCATCGAAAATTATCATCTCAACTAAAGCTCTCCTACGTACCTCTTGCTCAAATTTCCAAGTCTCTAAATTATTACTTTAAATGTTTAACAATTTTTGAATACCAGGTGCAATAGTCGGGGGCTTATACACTTTACACCGATAAGTCAAATGTTGTTTTATTCCACTTGTTCCATTTCTAGTTGTATAGGCAACATAATATTATTCACAATGTAAACACTTAGCTTTAACTAATACACAAATAGGAGATCTTGGATCCATTTTTTTTCTTTTTTCTGTTATTTTTGGCCAATTGACGCATCATTGCTATTAATAGGTGTATTATCCGTAGAATCAGCCATACTTATTCAACATTGATCAACCACACCCATATTTAATTGATTTTGCTTAGCCATTTATATATAACTAACTAGTAACAAAAGCAAAAATCAAAAAGAAAAATAAATGAAAGAAGAAATTCATTTTTAAAATTGTTAACTTAAAAAAATGAATTAAAAAAAACAAACCTTATGTAGATTGGTGGTCGCCAATCGCTGCCCGTCGAAACTTAAAAGTCTGCTGCCACCTGTGCAGTTGTTCTGTTCGCCGAAAAACGGCCGAAAAATTGATGGAAAACTGACAAAAAAAATGAAAGAAGAAAAACTTGAAAGGAATAATAGTCGAATGGAACTATGGAAGAATGCAGATTCAAGATGAATGATTTTCAAATTTTGGTCTTTCTTCACTCTTTTGGATAGGAGATTAGGGTGTCTAGGTCTGGCCGTCTAGGTCACTAGGTGTGTGGGTTTCTATAAAGTATAAAAGTTAAAACTTATAAAGTAGTCTTTTACTTTTTAGTTTTTTTTAAAAAATATTTAACATAAATAATTAATATAATATATTATATTTCGGTTTAAATCAAAATATCGAGAAAAAAAATTACGTATCGAAAACAGATCTTAAATACCATAAAATACAAAAACATACACCGAATGTCGAATAAAAAATTGAAATATCAAAAAAATTAGATTCGATTCAGTGTTTAGTTTTCCGGTGTTTATGCCCACCCCTATCTAATACAACTTTAGTGTAATTGCGACATAGTTACATAAAATTCACCTTTTTCTAGTTTAATATCATATCCTCCTAAATTCAATTGTATTAACTTAACCAGATCTTGTTAAAATTGAGATAGAAACTCCAAACGATATTTTCGATTATTTGTAGGAACAACCTATTCAAACTATAAATTCGTAAAATTCAAATAATGAATTCAAAATTTGAGGCTTTATAATGACTTCTAATGGTGAACTCTTGCTATTGTAATTTTATAGATTTGAAATTTCAGTTTGAAAATATAATTTTGTACAAATTTTTGATCTTTCTATTCCTTTCTCGTCGTGATTTTCAAAAACCAATAGTGAAATATATACAAAAATTGATTTGAGAATATCTATTTGAGTTAAAATTTGAAACAATAAGAAGAAGAAGAAGAAGAAGAAGAAGAAGAAGAAGAAGAAGAAGAGAAAGATGAAGAATGACAGTGTCATGCCCCGAGCCTACACCCTGGGCGTGACCGGCACTCGAGAATCAGTGCTGGCCCCAAGTGAACCCTTGGCCTGACTTACTTACTCAGAGGAAGGCTTTAAGCATAAATAAAAGGATTGAAATGCTAAATAACTTAATTGTATCAACTGAACTCATAATGTTTTTTTTTAAAAAAAATAAGCATTTAACTTAGCCAAAGTGGCAATTTAAATATGAAGATAATCCAATAAGATAATGACGAATGAACTAACATTTGACAGACTATCTATGAAACCTCTAAAACAACTGAGATGGACGTTTTGACAAGCCCCACAACATCCTAATGAACTAATATAATAACTGAAAGAAATAAAAAGGAGTCCTCAGAAAGGCAAGGAGGCTAACCAACTGACTCTGGAGTGCTTACTTGATAAATAATGCGCTGCTTGCTCCTAGTTACATGTGTTTGCATCATAAGACGATGCAGACCAACTGACATCAGTACATTGAATGTAGGAGTATGCGGTTGGAATGCTAAACATAACATAGGCTTGAAAAGAGTCTGAAAGAAACACTTACCTAGACTTTACTTAACTCTATTGAACTCAACTGATTTCAATCTAAAGTAGTGTGAATAGATGTAGTATAAAGAAAAAGCTTTAAAACCTTATTTTCCACTTTCTGTATTTAGAAATACAATGATAACTCTGTATGTATGCAAAGTTACAATATGAACTTTGTAAAATACAATTTTTTCCGATGTATATAAAAATACAAAATACTGATGTGAGAGTTTTTCTAACCGACAACCATCACATAAGAGTTATAGTGATGATACAACGATCTACCTCCCCTGCCAGCACATCCTATATCCGGCCAAAGGTATAGGACCTAAACTGCCTAATGGATTCACTAGTCTATTGTGAAAAGGATTTATCTAAAAAGTATGACCCTTTCTACCTATGATGTCTACATGATTTATGGAGGCATGAGTTATCTAAACTCATGATCGTCCCCAATTTGGTGCTCAATACTACTCCCAAAAATACCTGCTCTTATATTTTTAAGACATACTTCTTCTTTGATTTGAGATTAGTGCTAAAAAACTTAGCTCAAAGGCTATCTTGGAAATCTCGATTTCCTTGCTTGCTTCATTTAGAAAGCTATTAATCTTTTCTGAAAACTAGCCTGAAGGCTCTTTTGAAATCTAAGTTTTCTTACTTGTTTAAATATGAAAACATTTACTCTTTTATTGAAAATTAGCTTAAAGTTTCTTTACTGAAAACTAGCACAAATGCTCTTTTGGAAATCAAAGTTTCTTTACGTGTTTAAATGTAAAAATATTTTAAACTCTTTGGGGATACATAGTTCCCATATACTTTTGAAGAACTGAACTTTATTACTCTGATTGAACTCAAAACTCCAGTCTTAAAACAAAGTTAAACGTTTATAAAAGACTTTTAAAAACTTTAAGAATTTATCTTGACTTAACTGTTGACTTCTTTACTTGACTTTTAACTTTCCTTGAATTGAATTATGGATTCAAGGATTATGATTTGTGATAACAAAAAAAAGGTCTTATGATGTTTAGGAATGATTTTAGATAGAAAGAATAAGGTTCTTGAAGAATCTTGGATAAGAACTTGAATAGAAACCTTGAAACCCTAACTTGAAGGTAAATGATCAAGAAAACCTTTCTTGACATTCTTGAATTAGTTTATTGAAATCTCTATGGCTAAAAATTTATGATTTTCATTAGTAAAGATGAAAATCTTATTGTTTTGAACCTTTTATTAGTAAATAGTTTTTTTAGGATTTTCTTTGAGGTTAAAAAACAAAAACAACCCTTTCCATGTTTTTCCGTCGGCTAATTCATAACAACATTGTATAGGTTATTGAAATAGTCACAACCTTTTACTCAGAAATTGGATGAAAGCGAAATTAGTGTCATTGGAAATTAGATTCAATTAAGTTTAATTAGATAGGTTATGGCTCACGTAATTTTTTATATTCTAAGAGATATGACCGTTTAAAGTTGACCCAAATAGAATCTTACATCAAAACTTAGTGGAACTTCAAGAACACTTATCAAGAACTCATCAAGAACTTAAATCCTTAAATTTCAAGAACGAAATTACGCTGAAAATAACATGATTTGCGTGTGGGTGAATGAACCCAACGATATGGAAACTCACATACCTTTTTAGGGATCACCCGGATGAAATCCACAAGTTAAACTTCGACGATCTTGATGATTCTTGAACGCCCATCTCCTTTCTGCTCTTCTTTTCTCTTCTCTCAAAAACATGATTCTTTTGATAAAAGTGCAAACTTATTTAATTCAGCTTATACCCCTAATTAATTCCAAAAATGAAATAAATTAATAGGGTAAGGAAAAAACTCAACTACCCATTCAAAATCCGGATTGGACTTTCTTTATTCCAATCGCGCAACTTCCAAAGGGCATAACTCACTCATACGAACTCAAAATCATGAAATCCCGACAAAGTTTGAAAGATCATTCCAAGGGTTTTCCAATCATATCTGGAACTACACCCACATCATCCTAAGCTAGGAGTTATGACAATTTGAAGTTAACCGAAACCCCACTTTTAACTTACTTAAAATTTCCAGGTTTCCTTAAATAGTTCAAAAATAAGTATTTTCAGATTTTAAACTCCATTCTAGTTCCCTCTAGTTGCGAGATGTCACAAACAAAAAGTGATGAAGAAGAAGAAAAATAAAAATAAGAAGAGGAGGAAGAGAAACAAAGAAAGAGGCGAAGCGGTGGTACTTTTTCTTAAATTCCAAGAAATTGTTATATTTAGTCATAAAAATTATATTGCCATATATGATAAATATTTTCTTGATATAGCATATTTATGTGATTCACCCAAAACAAAACATAGAATTTAAGATATCTTTAAATAATGACTAGACAAACAAAGTAGGTTTCTCTTGTGCTTCAACATTTTTACAAAAATCCAACAGAAAACGCACTATTCAAAGAAAATATTATGAACAAATTATTCAAAATCCTGTTTTTTTTTTCAAAACATCTGTAAATCCTTAAATTATTTAATAATTCAATCTCCAAATTCTTAGTGTCTCAATTAACTTACCAACACAAAAGAACAGGCCTACATATCATATTATCACTTAGAATAGAAAATAGGCCTTTGGTCACTTTCAACTACTATAATAATTTTAACTAAAACCTAATCAACTTGAACTGGTTGACATTATAATTTTCAAACCTAACAATCAATAGGGAAGAAATTATTATTGTCGTTCTAAAAGCATATCTTATTTACAAGACAAGGATCTGGGTATCACTATCACATCCCTCTTTGATAGTGGTTGTTATAGGTAATTTTCTCTTTATTTTGTGACCACTTAAAATTTCATCAGCCCTCTATAATTCCAAATACCTATTTTTTAATGTGAGATTGATATTTGATCATGTATTAACATCACACCCCGAGTCAATAACCTGGGTGTGGTCGCCATTCAGGACTTTTATCGTGACTTACTATTGTACTAAAGGATATGACATGTATGTGAAAGCTTTTAAAATAGGAGAATGCAATAACTTTAGAAGGAAAATGCTCAAATTTTCCCATCGAACTCCGAACAAAAGACTTATCTATGCCATTTTCGTTTGAGAAAAGGTTCATTCATGTCATTATTTGTTAAATGAAATGCAATATATGTGACAAACTTTTAACAGATGAGCTATATAGATGAGCCTTTTCTAAAATTTTAATGACATATTTGAGCTTTTTCCATTTTAAAAACAATTTTACAAATGACGTGGCCAAATTATAATTGGCCACATATAAAAAATATTTTTGTAAAATCAAAATTGTATTCAGTTAACTAATAAGAGCATGGATGAGCCTTTTATCAAATGAAAATGGAAGAAATAAGCCAAACTTTTAAAAGATGACATAGATGAGCTTTTTCTCAAAGTTCATGTCACGGTCCCAAGTACACCCTGATCATAACATGACGTATAGACTCTGAGCGACCTTATACAAGCCACTTAACATACATCATACAATATGATAGAATTACAGAGTTCAAAAGATAGTTTTATATCATAAAGAGTTCGACAGAAATTGAAAGTCTAACATAAGTCTCAAAATCATCTATTACATCATAAGGAAATTAATTGGGACGTAACTCATACATCACAAAATACATAAAACAATAAAGAGTCTCGGTCCTCGAAACATGAGGAATCACCAATCATCAAAGGTCAAAAAGATCAACTAGTCACAAGTGTGTGGAATGGAATCGACGGACCCTACATGTAATGACCGATTCCTATTTTTATAGAAAAGACAACTGGGAAAAAATTTTGACTGAAAAACTTTTTGGTAGTATCTTGAAATTTTCCAACCTAGTCCAAATTTGGGCAAAATCAAAATCAACGAGGTCTGGGGAAATCTGATAACAAACGGGAGGTCTAGTTATGAATTTTATCATATGAGTAGATAGCTAAGACGTCAAGGAATACGTACGACTTCATAAAATTGAATTTGGGAGAGTAGAACTCTCAAAAATGATCTTAGCATGAGCGAATATTTTTTGTGTGTCGTGGGATGAAGATGTGTTGTAAAATGGGCTTTGGAAATTCTTTAAATAGCTCTCTGCTTTGTGCAAACCACTAGGGCGGGATTTCTGTTGCCAGGACAGGGCCATTGCAGTGGAGTAAGGACCGCTCTGGCGGGACAGAAGCGACTTAAGTCATAAATATACCCCAAAAATATTTAATTCTGCAAGTTTCGACTTCGTGACATAAGAAATGACCCCAATTTCTTTCTTGACATTTTCCACCATTTTTAGGCTAAAGAAAATATTTTCACCCTCCGAATCCATTTTTCAGTATGTAGAATTTAGTTTCTTGGGTAATTATTGACGGAGAGGATTTTGATTGAGAAATTATGGTGGAGAAAGCCCTAATTTGGGTATGGGGATAAGGTTTTGACCTAGGTTTGATGTTATAATGTAGGCAATTAGGTTTTGTTTATTGATCCTAGCATTATATTGATTGTTTGTAGACCAAGAACAAGCAGAAAGAATCCGAAAAGGGAAGAATTAAGTTTCTTAGGGGATTCAAGTTTTGTTTGAGCTGGTGATGGTTGTGATTTCATATTGTGTGATGTATACTTTTGCTTACTTCATTATAATATATGTATGTATGCAAATGTTGCATTATTGATCACACTAGTTGTAAATGAGATTAAACGAATGATGAATACCATGAATCATGACTTGATTTATTCATTTGAGAATGCATTTGTGATTGTTCTTGTGGCTTGTTGAATGAATCAAGTTTCGCATACCAACACATTAATTTGGATCAGTTTCCACGTTTCAACATCAACATGAGATCGGTTGCCATGTTTCGACATAAACATTGGATTGGGTACCATGTAACAATATGCTAACAATTTGGGAGTGGATTTTATGAGAGGACCATTGATGACATAACTATATATTTGGAGAAATGTGAAATTGTTCGTTGCTTATAAATGTTGTTGATATTGTATATGTTTGATTATGCATGTTATTATTATGTTGTGATGGCTTATGTATGTTTCACTTAGTGGGACGGTCGTGTGATCCTACCTATACATTGTGGTTGTGTATTGATACTGCACTTGCTCTTTCTTTATTGAGTACAGGGCGTCTTCAGGCGGCTATTGACAGAATTCGTTTAGAACATCAGTGATAGCTGATTGAATTCAAGGGTGAGCCACATCTTTCAGGCTCCATGAGTTCTGTTTTTTGGGTTTAGTCTAATTGCTTCAGAGTTAGACTAGTTCTTTAGATAATTCTCTTATTTAGTTTGGGTTGTACCCATTTCCTTAGACTTATGATCGTTGTTAGAGTTTCGGTACATTAACTTTCAGGTTCTAGGGAAGTAATTCCACATTGTTTAGTTTCAGTGTTAGACTTTTCGAGTTTATGGAAACTTTACTTAATTTTTTGCACTTAAAGCTGATTTTGTATCTTTAAATGCTTAGTTTGAGGTTAGTTGGTTAGTCGTTATGGTTCCCCCACCGGAGGGTTGATGTGGGTGTGTCAATCACGTCAATCGGGATCATGACACTGCATTAGTGAAACAATGTAGGGACAAGTATGCATTAGTACATAAAATGTACAGAATATGATAGCAATGCATAAAATATAAAATGGAAAAAATCCTAAAGTACCCTCGAAGTATTGGAAATGGTACAAAATTAGCCTCCATCCACCTATTGGCTCCAAAATACCCTTCCCACCCACCTATTCGCTCCAAAATACCCTTGTCATCCACCTTTGGGTTGAAAATTGACCACTTATTTAACGGTTTTAAATTTAAACTATTTATATATTTTATAGATACGTGTCACTCAACTATTTGTCATAATTTAACTTATTAGTATAATTTATAAATCAATCCACTACCCACTTATTACTAATAAACCCCACAAAATTAATAAACCCGTCATATTACTATTGCAACAACAGAAAGCTACTGATAATGAGTGTTTTTAAAATTTGAGGTGAAAGTATCTATAGAAGTAAATTATCATACATTCAAGTGGCTAAATAAAAATTACCAATAAAGTTAAAAGTCTTACTATGTTCATCTTACTTATTCCTTCATCTAAATTATGTGATGTTACTACATATATAACTTTTTTTTAAAAAATAATATATTAAATATTTTAAAACAAATCATACATATTTATAAAATTATATTAAAAAAAAGTGCATGAATTAATTCAATATGTACTACTTCTTTACCTTTGATCATAAATTTCAAATTCAAACTTAAAAGAGAATCCTATTGAAAGTGTCCTCTTAAATAAGCGACTCAACTTAAATTTTATTGGGGCTTCGATTCTAACTCGAATAATTTTGGATGTCATTTTGAGGAATCTATGATTTTGTCATGTTTTAGTAGTGTTTATGGCGACTTTGATATTATAATTGGTTTATTAAGTGGGTGGGGTTTAGTTAGTAATGAGTGGGTAATGGGTTGGATTAAAAATTATATTAATAAATTAAATTATAACCAATATTTGAGCACCAATTATTTTAAAAAATATATAAACAATATAATTTTTAAGTCGTTAAATAAGTGGTCAATTTTGAACCCGAATATGGATGATAAGGGTATTCTGGAGCCAATAGGTGGATGAGAAGAGCATTTTGGAACCAACAGGTGGATGAAGGGTAGTTTTATACCATTTTCAATACTTCGAGGGTATTTTAGGACCTTTTTCGAATATAAAATCGTGCTAAAAAGGAATTTACATAACATGTAATAACCAAGATATTTCATAAAATAACATATTATAAAACATAACTTGTAATAATAATCAATGCAAGCTAGACATCTTTGAATCATATTTGAGATACTTTTAGAAAGTAACCTTAGTTTATTATTGTGGGAAGTTTTTCATTAACAGACATAGACAATGTGATCTATAACATGGAATCTGGTGTCTATCCACATCGAAAAGAGATGTCCTTACTTGCAAAGGTAAGAACCATTAACTTGAGCTAAAGTGGATTCATTAGCTAATGTTTATCTAAGACAAACCTAAGGTAGCACATAATTATTGGACATGTGTAATTGCCATTAGTCCTATAGGTGCTAAGTATAAATCCCACGAAATAGTCATTAGTCATATTCATCTTGTTATCCATGGAAAGACACAATTAAGTAGTCAATACAAGCTAGAATTCACTTAGAATAGCTTTCAAATCTTGATTTGATCTATAATTGAGAAAACCATTCAACCCTGTGAATCTTTCATGTGAGAAAAAACTTTCACACAACAACAACATCAATGCTTTACTCTCAAAGCAGCCTTAGATTATTTAATAATAACTTAATGAAAACATGCTATCTTCATAAATTCATGGTTCATGGGTTTATCATAAGATTGTGGTTGAAAAGAATAATTAAGCATGGAAAATGAACAACTAAATATCATATATTAAGATCAAATAATGCATTGGAAGACTTAGTATATCATAATCAATCATAATGGAAAAGAACTACATTCTTTGAATCGAAACCCTAATTTGATGATATGAAAATTGAATTGGAAACTTGAAATCTTTAGGGACCTATGGAGAAAAAGACTTTATGGGTAAATAGACACATACCTTGATAAAAAAGCCAAGGGAGTGGAGTATTTGGAAACTAGAATGAAACCCTAACTCTACTTCTTAAATTCCTTAGACTTGAGAGAATTTGGGAGAATGAACTTGGTCAACTTTTTGGGAATTTAGGAGAATGAGTTGAATTGGGTAATATGTGGGCTAAAAATATTTATATAGAGACTAGGGAAAAAGGTAAAATGACATAGTATTGTGTATGAATAATTAGGAAAAGACCAAAAACCCTTTAAAAAACTTTCGAACCCCCATCTATGGTTGAACCTACGGTCCTTATGTCCTTCGATGGATCATATTGGACAACCGTAGTTAAGTTATTTAGGACCTTAAAATCCACCTACTTCCGATGGATCCCATGAATGGTTTGTAGGTATTCCTACAATCCGTGTATGCCTATATGACATTCGTAGAACCCAACTTTGACCCTCCAAATTTCACCAAGTCTGGGACTTACCTACGACTCGCATATGGGATGAAGAACTATCCTCGTGAAATTTAGAAAGGGTATTGGAACTTAAATTTCAAAAATTATTTTTGCCACCACCTACAGTTTCCATCTACGCCCCGTAAGAGCACCTACGGTCCGTAGATGGGACCCATAGACACAAACACCAGCTAAAATATGCATTTTCCTTTCTTTTCAAATACAGATGTTATATTTCAGTGGCATATTTGATTCTTTCTCAACTTTAGAAACAAACTGGAATATTTTATTTAAAGATTTGAAATTTAACTAATATGTATGTTTGTAAAATAATGTTGAAAGTTATAACTCTACTGACTCGTCTATGAATTCTCAAACATATTGCTATTAGGTTATTAAGACAAGACCTTACATGGTCAAAGTATATCCTAGGTGTAACATGATGTATACAATCTCATGGAGGTCCTACAGAAGACAATTAGCTTATATCACTACCCAATAATGGACTATAGGGGGGTGAGGAGAATGGGAACTGACCGAAAACTTGAACTATTTGACTGACCAAGATTTCGAAAGATAGAATTTTATATATATTAAAAAATCTGACAAAGTGAAAGCCTAACATAAGTCTAAAATCCATCTAATACATCATATGGGGTGTCTGGGATGTAAGCCATACATCACATACAAAGTTGGAAAAAGGGAAATGACATAAATTTATTAAGTGTCTCGGTCCTCGGAACATAAGTACTTACCAATCCACTTGAAGCACCCAATCAATGTCTATCCACGAGTCTATAAGGTAGGAACGTCGGACCCTAAAATTCATGAGATAAGTTAGGCACAAGTATGCATTAGTACATGGAATCTACTATGTATGGGGAAATATGCATAAACATGGAAATGATAGCATAATGATTTAAAGCATGTAGACATGGTCAATATTTAAATATTTTAAACATAAAGAAATAACACATGAAAATAATTGAATATAGTCAATGCATTTGAAGTAAAGTAAATCTGAAAATATTTAAGAAATTTTAACCATTTTTTGGGATATTAGGTTTAACTGGCAATAAGACCATTAGAGCTATATCACAGAATCGGGTATAACCCTCATATCAAAAGAGGGAAATCTATTCCCAAGGTATATTTTTGTAAGACTCCAAAATGAGTTAGGGTGTCTAGATACTAACATGTTTTTAATACGTTTATAAGGTCCCAAAATGAATTATAATATGGTATAGAGGCAATGTAATAAGTTTGAAATGATTTGGAAGTCGAACGTCAAGGGACGACCAAAACGTTCGACAACTAGTCACATATGTGTCTCATATGTCTGTGCGTGTTTATATATTGTATGATATGAGCTTATGAAGTCTTAAAATAATTTATAATGATGTTTAAATATGGTATGTAGAGTTTCAAGAATTTTTTAGTTCAAACGACCAAGAACGTCTAAGGCATTCGAAAGATAGCCGTTAAGACGCTCAACGTGTGTCTAGATGGGGCCTAGCCTGTTTAGACGAGTTGTGAGTATTTGTTTTGGGTGAAACTCATGTAGAAGATATAAAACTTGTTAAATTTTGTATTTACATTGTAAAAGTTTGGGTACAACTTCTAAAGGGCCCCGCAAAAGGCCGCACAAGAAGGACCCAAGGCTGGTCGAGACATTGCCTTGGCAGTGTCAATCGACGGACCAAACGACGGCTAGTTGGTCAACCAACGGTCCGTAGGTGAGGTCTAGTCGATGAAAAATTATATTGGGAAGGTCTAGACCCAAAATTTGTATAATTACCAATCTACGGAAGCCAAAGGATGGCCAATAGACTGCGCAATGGCCAATCGATGGGTCCGTTGATGGTGGCCTGTAGCTACTGTCCAGCGGACTGTTTTACCAAGGGGTGAATAGGAAATTCACCCAACGTACTAACCTGAATCTAATAGTTTTATTTAGATACTTTTGGGTGTGTATAAGTCATCTAAAACGTGATCATCCATTCCCAAACCAAATCACACAAATTAAACCTTACCCTCCAAAATATTCTCCCTAGAAACCACCATTGTTGGTGAAGCTAAAGAAAATCTTGGAGCTTGGATTTCCATGGATTAATCACCAAGTTTTATAGGTTTTCAACTAGACAAAGGTATAGTGATCCTTCATCTTATAGTAACCTTTCCCTTGGAGAGTTCTTCCCAAAGTTTTCAAAGAAGATTTTATGATCAATCTTTTAATTTTTCAATCTAGCCATGGGTTCTTTTTGAAAATGTTTTGAATGATTAAATTATGATGAATTAAGTTAATACATTGGTTTGAACGTGATTTTACTCCAATTGCATGATGAACCCATGTTCTCTCCTTAAATCGATTTAGCTTTGCATGGGCTTTGTGATCATTGCTTGTTAATGGTTGAATTGTGATTTTCTTACGTTGAAGTGTCTAAATCTACTGTAATTTACGTTAATTGCTCATGAATTGATGATGAACGATTCATGAGGATCAATGTATAAAGATTTGGGTTTGAATAGCATATGTTCTATGTGTTACAGTGAATTTTGATTACAACAATTGTGTATGATTTTGATTATGCAAAGCATCATTGTAGCTACTTCCTTTAGTTGGTATTATGGATGAATTGTGCGTGTAAATACTTGATGATCAAATTAAAAAAAAGGTTATGTATGTGATGTGATCTCGAGTTATGGTTAGATGAAGCATGATTTTTTATTAGTAAAGATCAGATTAGATACAGCCTAACATGTATGTTATTGTTAAAATATGATTGATGGTCAAGGACTTAGGGAATAAATAGTATTGGATAATTCCTTTGTACTCTAGAAAATTAATAAGCCTAATGTATATGTTGGAAGCTTGATCTTGAAGGGATTAAGCATGATTTCGTTATAACTAAGAATATGATTAGCTACTGCCTTGCAAGTGCAATTGGTTGATGGTCTATGTCCTTCTACCCTCTAGTATTTTAATGTATTGTACTAGTAGTAACATGACCTTGTATTAGCTTATGTTTAACTTAATGAATGATTATGGTACCTTAAGCTACTGCCCTATACTTGATTTATTGATAAAATAGTAGTACTGGTCAATGATGATCAAAGGCTAAAGGATTGGTAAGAATTTCTCTACTCTTCTACTTCTTTATTTTCTTATAGTAATGTTTATGAAGCCTTGTATGACATTGTCTGGTATGGTCCACTTATGGTGGTGGTGTTTACTTTATTGTCATTATATATGTGTTGATTATGGCCTTGAAGGTGAATTGATGAATATATGAATATGTGGCTATAATGATTACCCTATGTGAAGTTTATGCCTACTTTCCTATTTTAGTTGTGACCTAGGTTGTATGGCTATGGCATAAGCATGTGTATATCCATATTAGGGTAAAGTATAGGTTCTGCCATTGACTAGTTTAAATGGTTAACAATCCCTTGCCTATGTACCCATATGTGAATGCATGAATAGCACAAGTTAGGAGTCTTAAGTGTAATACGAAGTTGGCTTGTCTCCTATGCTATTGTGTGTTGTGTGGTCTATGCTTGAAAGAGTATTATGGTCTACGAAGGGAGATGCCTCAATGTGTTATTGATATCCATTATGTGATCATGTTGACCAATGTACACACACACTCACTTACATGCATGTAACAAGTAGTATAGGTCATCGTGTCTAAATGAAAGGTATTTCTCATATTCACTAGTGTATACTGCTATGAATGATAAGGTAACGTTTATGAAAGTATGATATGTATTTCCTTAGCTAGGATGATTTGATAGGTGTATTAATATGGGCAAGGGTTTAGGACTTTGCCTATGCATTGTACATGTGTACCTTAATAGGATAGTTCAAGTTTTGGTTTCTATATTTATGAATATGAATGTATGAGCATGTGTGACTTAAGATGTTATGTAAAAGGTTTTCTCACATATATGTATACACACACACATGAATGATGATCTAGTCAATAGATGAGCCTTGAAAGGTGTGCTCAAATGTTTCTTAAAGTAGATAGTGCTAATACATATGGTATGTCCATGTGAAAGGATCTTCTCACATGATTTATGTTGATGAACTTTCATCTATGACCTATGAGCTAAGCATATATGGGTATAAATCTCCTACGCCTATGTTTTATAAATAAATGATAATAAAGGCTTTTTCAATAAAGATAACTTAGCTTAGCACCGAGTGAACTTGAATATAAGTGTCTATCCCCTCCCAATAAGGGAAGGCAGGTCACCATAAATCTCATGAGGTGGATAACTACAATGCCTCAATAGGTATAAATAGGGTTTCCATAAGTGAATAACCATAATGCCCCATCTAGGCATAAAGAGGGTTTTCACATGTACCACCAAGTTCCATAACTATGTTGCCACCATAAGATACTAGCTAGTGGATCCACCTAGAAAGCTATGTCACATTTGGTTCTACTTTGGCCAGTAAACCACCTTCCTTCGGTGTGGGGTTTTATGACACCGGATTCCATGTTTAGCATCACATGGTCTATGTCGGTTAAGGCTATAGTCTCCCTAATGTAAAATGGACAATGGAAGGACCCTAACTAGGATAACCTAAGGGTAGTTGCTTAGTGTAGGTGGGGGTATGAGACTTCACCTATACATTGCACAAACGACTCTTGAGGGAAGTCTTAGGAAGGTGTTCCAATGCATGTCATTATGTATATGTTCTTTATGCATGACTTTGTAGTAATGGTCAACTTGTTATGAAGATGTGCAGGGTATGAATCTATGAGATGTAATCTTATCCTTGTATGCACTATGTTGGTGTAAATCACTATATGATGAAGGTCTTGTATTGACATGAATGAAGTTGTCTTCACTTACTTGTTTATGCATAATTGAATGTTAAGGTTTCTGGTCTCATGAAGGGTTTACTAATAATGTATGGGGATATGGGTTTCTATATGTTCATTGCACTATTAGACTAAGATTGGGGTCATGAAAAAGGTCTAAGAATGATGAATATGGGAAGAAGTAAATGTATGTGTGACTTGATGTAGCTTACTGTAATGTTCCTAAGGCCATTACCTAAATGTGTCTTTGATAGATTGTACTTATATGATGATATGTGTTGGATTAGGTAGGTTATATGTATGTTCCTTGTGACCTTAACGTGATGCATTGCACCAAGTATCACTAAAGGGTTACTTGGGAAGTTAATGAACAAAAGAGAAGATGGTTCACTATTAAGGGAAAAAGAGCTTACTGTAATGTGCCTTAAAAATGCAATAAATTCTAAATGTGATCTTATGTGATGTTTGTCCTTTGAATATGTTTATATGAAGTATGTGAAGGATATAAATGTTATTTTCTAAAGGTTTTATGAAGATTTACTCAAAAATGCATGAAGTATGATTTCAAGAAAATGTCCCTTTTGAATGCATGTTTTTGCATGGTTTTCATACTTAGTGCATTCTTGTACTAATCTCATTCTTATCTACTTTTTACACAAAGTGTAGGTTATATATTCTTAAAGAGTGTCTACATGATTGAGGAGGTTGATAGGTGATTCCAAAGCTCAAAGAAAGGAATCCTTAAGTCCAAGGATGTCCTAATGTGTACTTACTATATAGACTGTTAAATATCATATAGTTTTGTATTATATCTTAAGGGACGTGTCCCTAATGTATTCTAAGGTTGTTGAGTCTAAGATGGCAAAGAGACTTAGGGTCTAAATATGTGTTACGACTTATATTATATATATATATATATATATATATATGAAGTAAAGTTTCTAGCATATGATGTGCTATGAAAAGTTTTAAATTTTCAGCTAAATTTACTATTTTAATGCGATGAATGATAACTATGTGCTTGTATAAGACCTCGAGAGGTCAAGTACGCTATGTTACTTCTAGGGGGTTCTCCCCAGATGTGACAAATTTGTACATATCATCATTTTGGTAAAGTGGATCCCCTAGCTAGGTCATTTAAGACGATTCTATGGGGGCACGTAATTTGGGACTAAATGTTGCTATTAGAGACTACTTTGATTGAGTCTCCACCTTAATTAAAGACCTCCGGATGCAAAGTCCAAGTCCGAAGGAAATAGCTAAAAAGTCAAATATCAATTTATAGGTAAGGAAATGATCAAACCAATGCAATCTTTCAAAAATCAAAACATAGAATAACTCCTTAAACATAATTCAACATAGATGGAAAATATTTCACCAATGTAAATCCATATGTGAGAAATACCTTTTACAATTATGATCATAATAACATGTGACAAATCCTTTCACAATTATGATCATAATAACATGTGACAAATCCTTTCACTATAACATTGATACTTTCCTTTCAAAGCATCATCAAATCTTTTAAACAATTTCATAAAAACATGCATACCTGCATAAATTCATAATTTATAGTTTATAACTTTCATTTTGGGTTCTTAATAAAAAATCATGGATAATGCATATGTCAACATAATTTCAACATATTATCATGTATTAACACCAAATCATACATTGCGAGACTATATCAACAACAATAAATCATAATAGAGTAAAACCCGAGAAAATTAAATTGAAAAAACTAGCTTGAACCAATTGAAATCGAAGGAGAAATTGGGAACCTTGGGGACCCCATGGGGGAAAGATCTCCATAGGTGAATATCAACATAGCTTGATGCTAAAATCCCAAAAAGAATGGAGAATTTAATAGTTGAGGGGAACCTTAGCTCTTTTTCTTCTTTATTAGCCTCAAGAGAATTTCAGGGAGGATGAGTTTGGTTAGGTTTAGGGGATTTAGCATAATGAATTGAAAATGGGTAATTTGGAGGGTAAAAGCTTTATATATGGCTTAGGATAAAAGGTAAATTTACATATTATTGGATTAAAAGAATTAAGGAAAAGACTTAAAAGCCTCTTAAACTAATGGTCCGTACTATTCAATCGTAAACCAAGTATTGAAACATGATTTCACCTATTTTTTGACAAAATATTTCTATGGCTCATAGGTCTTCCTGCGGTTCACCAACTGTCAAAACAAACTTTGATCCTCAAAATTTTAGTAAGTTTGGAACTTACTTAAAAGACCTATCTATGACTCGTATATAGGATGAAAGACCATCCTGGTGTATAGTAAAAAGAGTACTGAGACTTGTTTTGAAAAATTTATTTTACATTTTTCTATGGTTTCCATTTACAACCTTTAAAAGATTCTACGTTCCATAGACTAAAACCGTAGAGACAGCCTGCAATCCAAAAAAAAAATTCCTTATATTCCAAATCTGAAGAGTTACAAGACCCCACGCTACCTAAATACTCTACTAACATTATAACCAACTACTAATACTAAAGATAAATTGGAGCTCTACGAAAGTAATGAGTCTTACCAAAGTTTTGTGAAAGTGAGCCTAATTATTTGCCTACTGTCAGGAGTACCTGAATTTGTATCATAAAATGATGTAGCGTCGAATAGAGTCACTACATGGAATGTACGATATGTCAAATACCTAAGTCTAATAATTGTCTAAAATTTATTATACTGAGCTGAAATGAGTAACATTAAACATAAACAGATACAAGATCAACTAAATAGTAAAACATGTATGTTTGCGTTAACAATAAAATTTTAAAATTGAATTTAAGTAATAATAGAAAGTACTAAAAAGAATATAATTAATTTACTTTTCTTAGGGAGTTTATTTCAATCGACATACATCATATGAGCTCATGATGTCCAACAGCTAACCTAGTTAAGAGAGATGTCTTATAATTTTTCAAGGTATACAACATATCTATCTGATGTGGATTCACTAATTGAGACTCAAAGAGTTGAAAAAGTTGACTGACAAAGCAGTAGGCTCAAATCTACGGTACCACCTAGTTATGAGACTTAGATTTTCTAACTTTGCATCCTCTCCATACTAAATAGTCATCCCAAATAATATACATATACATATATAGATATATCATAAGAACTATAGCTGAAATCATACTGTAAGTCTTTACTCAAATTTGTAAAATTGTATTGCTAGTAAGAGTAAACTCACAACTATCTGAAACATACTGATATTCTAAATTTTAATGATCAAAGACAATTTTTTATTAAAAACGTGTCTGCCAAAATATGGAAAACTATAATCTTTCGTAATGAATCTTTCAAGTGACTACACTTTCTTATAACATAATCGTTAAAAAGTATATAATGAAATTTCATCGAGAGAAGTTTTCTTGAAATAATGCACTTGAAATTTGAAATAAGAATATTTTTGAAATACTTCTTGAAAATCTTGGAATTAATTCTTTCATGAAAACAATGTATATAAACTTGTATAACAAGAATTTTCAAATAACTTTGGCTAGAAAAGAGATCCATGAGTCATGATTCAAAGATTATTAACGATATCAAGTGTCATAATTTTTTGTGATATAAATAAAAAATCTACAATAGTTAGAGAATTTAAAATCAAGAATCTTGAATAAAACCTAGTTTTGATCTTACTAACTAAATTGCAGATGTAAGGCGTGAGAATGACTTAATTCCTCACTATGATAGTTTTATATACCTCAAATGCTCCATGAATCTTGAAGAAGAACCCTAATTTGAAGAAGAATGATCAAGAAATCCTTTTTTGATTTCTTAAATTTGTTATATTGAAATTCCCATGTTTTGATAGAAGGTTTTGCTTAGGATGCATAAGTAGATATTAAAATATTAGCAAATTTAGAGAGTATGATTACCTTAATTTGGAAGGAAAATCCTGAATAACTTACTCAAAAAGCAAGTCTTGAACTCTAGAACTGAATTCTTATTTCAGTAGAGATAGGATAGTGATTTGATGTTAGAATCTTGTAGATTTTCAAGAACTTAGATTAAAAGACAATGAAAATACTTACCAAAACTTAGGAGAGTTGAAGAGAGCTTTTGGGGGTTGTGAGAATCGATTAAAGGGTTAAAAGTGAGAAAGGAAACTTAAAATAGTGTTTTATGAAATCTGAAATATTGGTATACGGTCAGTATACATAATATATGGGTAATATATACGGTCTACAAACCTTTTTACGATCCGCAGAATGATTCACGACTTGTGGATTGGATCCACAAAATTGAGGGAAAAATCAACTCTTTGAACCCATTCCAGGAGCCCATATACGGTGCGTACTTGCATCAACGGCCCGTAGTTTGACCCGTAAAATTTAGGCAAAAGGCATCCAATGGACCTTATATGTGTATGTGTTTGTATTGTGAACCCTTGAATTTATTGAAACACAATATTTTAAACACTATTTTTGACTTGTCATCCTATGTGGCAGCTAATACCAGAGTGCGTGTAAAACACACGTATCAGGAGCATGAAACCCTTGGAAAATGGTCTAACAGCCACATCAGGGATTTTACATAGACATCATCTTTCTACTTGGATCTAAAACCATTATTAGACAAAATTTAAAATTTTCTTAACCTTATATTTTTTTATTCCCCCCCCCCCCCAACTTTCTTCTCTATTTGTTATTGTTATTATACTACTCTCTTTATTATGAAACACGCCATGGAAGAGAAACACTTTTACACTAACATTTCAAAAACTTTCAACAAAATCAATGTAATCGACTAAAACCCAAAATCAAACAAAGATACAAATAGAAGATCAAATCCACATTAAAAAACAAATAAATTCGAAAATAAATTGAAAAAACTACCTAGACAAGTTGAATATCAAACAAAAACAAAAAGAACCTCAAATAGTTTTCGAGATTGACCCATGCTTCAGTCATCCACTACTCAATGACCCCTAATTTAGATCCAAACCAAGCACAAACTTACTGCCTTCCTCTTGTCCTTTTCACATTCTCCAACCAAAACACCTTCATTCTCACCACCTCCGACAATCTTCAACCAGCAGCTATAAGCGAGAACCAACAACAATAATAAAAATCCCAAATCAACTCTACCAATAAGTCTCGGCCTTTCTAATGCCGCCACCCTCGAGCTTCAATGATATTATGAAAAACTAGAAACAATCAGACCACCCAAAAGACCCCACTCTTCCTTAGGCCACCAGTCACCACCAAAACCTCAATCTAATAAAATTCAAAATCAACTCCAAACTCGGTGAAATTGTGAACAATTAGAAATCAGGCCAAATTTTATACTCCAACGGAAAGAGTAGAAGAAGTAGAAGAAAAAAAAAGGTAAGGAAGATGAGAAGAAGGGATGACGTGAAATTGTGTGGATGGTGACAGTTATAGCAAAACGAAATAAAAATTAGAAAGAAAAGTGTTGGTACATTAATCTAATATAATAAAAGGAAAAATGACGTGTAGTGACTATATGTATGTGTCATTTTATAATCATACATGTCATTTTATAATTATTTTTAAAATTATGTGTCACGCATTTGTGGTACACACACAATTGAGTAGTAAAAAACATATTTGCACTACATAAAATTGCCAAAAAATGATGGCTAAAAGTGACGGACTACATAACTTTTTTGGTCAAAATCAACGGAAAAGCAACGCAGTTATGTCTGTATTTTATACTAAGCTTTTAGAAAAATAATATTTTGTATGCTTTTTGACTTTTTAGAGTCGCACTTAATTTTTTAAAGAAAAATCAAGAAAAATTAGTTTTCGAAAAGAATTAAACAGAAAAAAACCTTAAGAAAACTTTAAAGGGGTTCGGGGATTCCTATTTATATTTTAGGAAGGTTGTTACCGCACCTAAAATATTTGCTAACTCGCAATTATAAGACAACTAACTTTATTTTTAGCTAAAGTGTCTAACTTAATTTTTTGAGATGAAATTTGTTTGAAAAATGAAGTATTAATTTGCTTTCTAAGTGAAATTTTGACTTGCAATATTTTATTTTATTTTATTTTTTTAAATCCAATTTGAAGTCGATTGATTTAGTTTAAATGATTAAAAGATAACAGCGTCTTGCGTGAATTTAAAGTTTTCGACCCTAAAACTAACGTCAAAATAACTAAACGCATAAGCAAATAAAGTGAACGAGGGAAAGGGAGTGAGTTGGGTCCAAACCGGTTCTGTCCATCTGGACCGGTATTTAGACCAATTTTCTTTTTGGGATTTTGACCCATTTCCATCTTGGTCTTTTAGCCCATTTCTAATTAGTACATGTCCTAATCTAATCATACAAAAATCAATAAATGAAAGACAACAATGGTTTAAGACCAAAAGATAACAAAATACAATCTAAAATGAACAAATTATGAGATTTTGGCCGCAAGACTTCAACTCTACAATTAGCCTCATATTCTCCAATTTTGCGGAACCTGTGCGTCAATTTTAAGGCCAAAGGACTCGATGAAATAGAATTGGGCCTTTTTGGCCCAGTAGGAAAATATGTAGATAAGATTAATAGGACCCTGACAAGCTCCTATGCAAACAAAGGAGAAACAAGAAATTAATCTATCAATTAAATTGATGACAAGATAAAACTTGATTTAATAGACATTATATAATTAAATTATTTCATGCAGAATCACGTTGAGCATAAAATCTTGGAAGGAGTAAATAAAGGATTAATTATTTGGAACCGATCAAATTATGGGCACGTAGGCATACAATCAACAAGTAACGAAATAAAAAAAGTATAGACTTGAGATAGATAATTCTGACCTTTTCAATATAAACGCTATTTAGTCAGTTGAACAGGGAGAAACTAGGTCAAGTTATACTATTGAACCCATGAATAGACACATTCAACATGAACACATAATAAGATAAGGATGTTTTTGGACATATGATCGATCAACATTTCTCAGACTCGACTTATCATTAAAAAATGGAACTAGTATTTCTTTGTCGGAATAACCAAATGAAATAACTTCATTATTTAATTATTGAAGCAAGCATGTTAAATAGAAACTTGAACAGACATATATAACATGATATTTATTGGAAAAAGTCATTATTTGAACAATATTTAATACAATTCAAACTACGCCAAAACACATACATTTTCCAAAGTATGCTATTTCCCAAATCAGACAAAGGTAAAGGTAAAAGAAACTTTAGTAACATAAGGCATTACTAAAGTAACTTTTATATCACCCATCAACTTCAAAATTAAAACCAAAATAGACTGTAAACTTGTTCAAACAAAACCACAGATTAGGCTAAACTTGCTTATGGCTCTAAAAGAACGACAATTTAACCCAAAACTAAAATATTATTTTTTTGGCACAATGAGCCAACGCAAACACAAGAAACCAAATGACATGCTATTCTAAAAGGTAAGCAGATCGAAAAGCAAAAAAATCTTGGTAGAAGGCGATCTGGGACACGGAAAAACAACAAGAAAAAAAATAAAAATGCTAGATTTAGTTTAAGTTTAATTAGAAAAATCCCCAAAATGAAATTTAACCATCGACTTGACACAAATTGCAAGCCACGAGGTTGATCATTTTAAATGAACAAAATGGCTGATAAGATGCTAGTAATATACAAAAGAATTTCATGTGATTCGCAAATACAAGTAGAAAGGAGCTTGACATTCACGACTTCATATAAGAGAGAAAGGGAGGGATAAACATGCTTCAACACTTATCAGGACAACCATTTAAATAACACGGAAGTAGACCGAAACTTGCTTTAGAAATAAGAGGAGATAAATATACTCTCAGCTACAATCTAGAAAATTGAAAACATCGGGTGACGAACGACGACATAAATATAGACAGATTCATAAGAAAATAATAAAACACAACTCTAACAAATCGACTTATGCTCGCAAGAAAATCGAGTGGACAGCGTCTTGAAGCATTTCAGTATCTTCCAAACACATGAGCAGGCATGCTTGTGATTTCAATAAAATTATAACATAAGGCATTGAGGCAACTAACAAGATAGTGAGCCACGCTTGAAACGAGTATAATCAACCAAGAAAACTCATAAACAGGGGAAAAGCACATTAAACATGTGATAAGGTCATTCGGAGAACAAAAACAAAACACAAAAAATTAAAATACTATGATGAAGAGGAAATTCGGATTCGAAACAAACCATGTAAGATCATAACTAAATAATAACTACTCCATGATTCGGTCAATCGCCAGAGTCGGAAAGAAGAAAGCAAGAGAAGACAGAGAGTCATTTAGCTTTGGCAGGGCAGCGAACTGGGACAGGAGACGAGCAGAGGGACTAACTGAAAGACTCGAACAAAGCTTAAACTCCAACTAATTCCTCCGAAGTTTTACTCTATTCTTAAATGTTTGGGTATGTGAATGTTTACATCCAATAATTGTTATGTTTCCTTCAAATTTCAGATGATTCCTGCTACTTTTCTGAACTCCCTTTTTTCAAATTTTTGCTCTCTCTGGAAAAAGAAAAAAACTCTCTGGAAAAAATCCCCCTGAAATTGTAACAAAACTCTTTGAAAAATTTTCCCCACCCGGTAAAGCTTCTAAGAAAAAGAATATTTATAGGAGGGGTTTAGGATTATTGAAATTGGGGAAACCAAAGTCCGAATTCGGGGGTCCAAATCCAAATTGAAACCCTAAAAAACTTTTCTCATTTTGAAACGAACAAACTTTTGAAAATCTGAATCCTTTCGCCAAATATGAAGGAAAATGGACGAACGGATCAAAACGATTGTCCTTGCAAGTGACGTGGATCGATCCCACGCTATCAAGGACAATTTGTGTGCCATTCTAGAATGCTGAAGTCATACGGTTTTAAAACGACATATGAGGAAAAGGCCAAAACCGCACAGGGCTACTTTGTATTCTTTTCCACGTGTAGTTTTGGTCGCTCTCCTTCACGCAATTCGGACATCGCTTGAATATCGTGTCCAATACGCTTGCCAGCCATTGTAGATGTCGTGTAGTCGATTGTTGTTACTACCTTGTCGCGCGTGGAGAAAATGAAGGCGAGCGGACAAAGGGAATTTGGAATTGCTGCGTGTTGTTACGTTCTCTAAATTTCTCTTGGAAAGGGGAAAAAATTGGGGTCGGGTCAAAGGTTAACAAAAAATAGGCTGAGGTAAAAAAGGAATTGGACCTTGTGTTGGTCCAGTTTAAGGGGTGGGCTGAAAATTTGGTAATTAGATTGGCCTGGTGTTGGGGATGATTAATATGGAATTGGGCTCAAATTGATAGCATAAACTATTCTCTTCATGGACTTGAAGTGAATCCTAAACGAATAGAATAATTCACTAAACGAGTCAAACTAAAAATTAATTAACGAGCTTTCTTTAAAAATTAGCGAGATAAAATAGTTAACTTGATTATAAACTAATAAAACCAAAATGTAAACTAACGATTCAGACAAAATCAACTTAATAAAGCATTAAGTAAAACCAAAATCTTTTTGAACCAATTTTTGAATATTTTTAAAATAAACTAGTTATATATATGGCTATATAAAAACGTATATGCTATTTAAATTATAACAAGACAAACTAATAAATCAATTTATAAATTAAGGAGCCAAACTACAAGTTACTAAAACTAATTTAATAAAGCATTAGAAATAACTAAAATCCTTTTTGAGATAAATTTTCGAATATTTCATAAAGTAGACTAATTACGCACCAAATTATAAAACATACATATTACTTAAAATTACTAAAAGTGACATGTTTATTTAATATAACTCACGAATTTTGGATTTTCTTTAATGTTTTTAGAAAACTAATTATTTTTAAATTGTTTAGAATTAAGAAGCTCGTTAATAATTATTTTGGGGGGGGGGGGTCAAAATTGGGTATCAACAACTGACCCTCATTTTACTTGGATAAATGCAAGAAATTCGAGAAAAATGAAATTGACCGAGCCAATTTTGACCGACTACAACTTCTCCTTTCCGACAAAATTTGATACGGAATTTAAGAATTATGGTCGAACCCAGAAGTGGGTTTCCTATATATCTCAGGCTATATGAGAATTCAGGCCACTTGTAGTTCACTACGCTTGATTTGACGCACAATTTAGGAAGAATTTAAAAACCATCTTGACACCAAATTATAAAGGGATATAAATGCTTGGGAATAGGATTTGAGAGCGAACATATAGCCGAGTTTTCAATACTGAGCCCGCCTACGTATCCTTTAAGCTTAGGAATAAGGTTGTTGGTAATTTGACTCTATCGGTCGAAAAGGAAATCTATTATGCTAGATAACCTTTGATTTTGGACAGGTGACAAATTAAGTTGAGTATGAAAATGAGGCTTGTAACCTCTTAGCCATGAATGTGACGTGCTTCTCACCCATAATTAAGAACTTACACGGATATAATTGCCAAAGCTCTTGGCGCATTGTCACTCAGATTGAAAACTTGCTTCTGGTGGATACCGAATATCCGGATGCAAAAATTGAAACTGACAAAAGCCAAAGAAGTACCCACATGCCTTCTGATAGAGGTGTGGTTTGATTTTGGTGGAAGTCGCTCCTCTGCTCGAGTCCTAAGAGTTTGACACTCCTCTTTGGACTATGTCCCAGTTCACTTCTAAGAAAAAGTTCCACATTGTGTTGCATCTATTTTGATGTCGACCGTACCTGTGGGTTTTTTTTGGAGAATTCAATGCAATTCAAATGGGAGATAGTGTCTTTTACCATGTTGACACTTAGTTGTTCACCTTTAATATTTGACGTCAACTTTATCAATTTGACGTAAAGCAAATAAAGCAAATAAATATTATTTCTTATGTTTGCAATATAATCTTCAATGTACTCTTCATTGGATGTCGAAATAAATAAACAAGTAAAAATTGATGCAGTGTGCTGGTATTTTCTTGATGGTGTCTTTGATGATTCTCTTGGTGTTTACTTTTTCCAAATAAAAAGATGCAATTGATGTTGAGGGTAAATATTCCTCTTGATATGCACGATTTCATCCTCTGGCAGTGCATGATTTCTCCTTCGCAATGTATGACTTTTCCATGATGCACGAATTTTCTCTTGCAATGTATGACTTCTTCTCCGCAATGCATGATTTGGTTTTCCACGATGCATGAATTCTACGCAATGCATCAATTTCTTCTCGCGATGTATGAATATTTTCTCACGATGCATGATTATTTTCTTGCGATGCATGACTTTCCGCGATGCATGATTTTCTGTGAGGCATAAACATCTTCCCGCGATGCATGAATATTAACTCACGATGCATGATCTTCCGTGATGCAAGAATATTAACTCGCAATACATGATTTTCTGCGAGGCATGAATAACTTCCCACAATGCCTGATTTTCTGTGAGGCATAAATATCTTCCCGTGATGTTTAAATATTAACACGCAATGCATGACCTAGCAATACATGAATATTAACTCACGATGCATGATCTTCCACGATGCATGAATATTAACTCGTGATGCATGATTTTTGGTAGGGCGTGAATATTTTTTCGCAATGACTGATTTTCTGTGGGGCATGAATATCTTCCCGCGATGTGTTAATATTAACCCACGATGCATATTAACTCGCGATTCATGATCTTCAACGATGCATGAATATTAACTCGCGATGCATGACTTTTTCGTGATGCAAGAATATCAACTCGTGATGCATGACTTTTCCGCGATACATGAATATCTTCTCGATGCATGATTTCTTACGAGGCATGAATATCTTCTCGCGATGTGTAATTTTATCTCTTAATGCTATCCTTGGTATCAAATGATGATAGTGTTTCAATCGAGCAACACAGTTATCTTTTGAGTCACATACACAATATAAAACTGACTCAAAAGCATCTGCCATTTGGAAAACTTTTCGGTTGGCATCGCATTCTGGAAAATGTACTTTAATGGATCCATCCTTGAAATAAGGTATGTTGTATAAGAAGACAACTAATGTCTCAACTTCTGAGCGATCCAGGTCAAAGCACAACATGTTCTCTCCAAAAGAGTAAAACGAGACTCATATGGCGTGAACTTATTGCTTATATAATAAATGGCCTCTCATTCTTCCCTATTTCGTCATACTGCCCAAGTACGCATCCAAATACGTTATCTAATACGGAAAAATACACCAACAATGGACTCCCTTCTCGCGGAGGAACCAATATCGGTTGATTGGACAAATAGTTCTTGATAGCATCAAAACCAGTCTGACACTCTTCAGTCCACTTTGTCAAAGCATTTTTCTTCAACAGCTTGAACATAGGCTCACACACCACAATTCATTGGGCTATGAATCGACTGATGTAATTCAACCTTTCTAAGAAACTCATCACCTCCTTCTTACTCTTCGGAGGAGGTAACTCTAGAATTGCTTTAATATTGGAAGGGTCGAGCTCAATACCCCTTTTGCTGACTATAAATCCCAATAACTTGTCGGTCGGCACCCCAAAATTCGCACTTAGCGAGATTTAACTTCAAGTTGTTACGATGCAAATGATCAAAGAACTTTTTTAAATGCGTCAAGTGGTCCAAACTCTCGTAGGACTTGATTATGACATCATCTAGATACACCTCGATCTCTTTATGATTCATTTCATGAAATATAGTGGTCATAACCCTTATATAAGTAGTGCCATCATTTTTAGGCCAAATGGCATCACCCTGTAATGACATACCCCCCAAGGCGTAGTGGAAGATGTTTTTTCTACATCTTTCTTATCCATCAAAATCTGGTGATAACATATGTAACAATCCAGGATCGACTGCATTTCATGCTTAGTACAATTATCGATCAGAATGTGAATGTTCGGCAATGGAAAATTATGTTTTGGGCTGGCTTTGTTGAGATACTTGTAGTCGACACAAATTTTGACCTTCCCATCTTTTTTGGCGACCGGAACAACATTGGCCAACCAAGTCGGGTATTGCATCACTTCAACCAATCGAGACACAATCTGGTTGGTGATCTCGTCTTTGATATTTAAACTCAACTAAGGCTTGACACTAGATTGGACCCCGAATTGATCAGCAACTAGTCGGATACCACTTTGGTACTCAACCCTAGCATGTCACTGACCGCCCAGACGAACACATCAATGTATTTAGTAAGCAAATGAATCGGATCCTTTCTTTGATCTTCATTCAAGTGGATACTAATTTTGACCTCTTTGACACACTCTTGGTCTCCCAGATTCATGGTTTCAGTTTCTTCCAAATTTGGCTTATGCTGATTTTCAAACTGCTGAAATTCCTCAGCAATATTTTCCAGTACATCATTTTCCTCTTTTTATTCTTAACCTTCATCATCACCTGCCTCATTTTGTTCGCTCAGCCTATGACATGACATGACATTGACAGGTTTAAAATTACTATTATTGAAATGATAAACAGAAAAAGTTAGGTAAGTAAAATAGCGGATAAGTAAATAAACAAGTTTTCAATAAAGAGGCTTTCATTCAAATTGGAAAACAATGCAAACTTTAGCCATGACAAAGGGGCATGTTTCCTTTTTAAACATCACAGGGGAATTTTTAAATTCAAGCGATTAATAAATGCAAAATGGTGGGTCTCGGGCCTTTTCCGGACCGCCACAAATTTTTAAAATATGCATACACTAATGTCCTTCTACCAAGATGATCGGGGAATCAAGATTGGCGTAGAAGTATAATTTTGTAGTTGTTCTCCAGGCTCAGCATCACCGATACTAGCTAGCTCGACCTCTTCTTTTATGACAGCATCGATTTCTTCAAAAAGGCCGCAGATTCCTTTTGTGAGGCCATCATGATCGGCGTATTCCCGGACTGGAAACGATTGATAGAGATGCGGGATCGGCTTAGCCTATGCTAGATCGTTGCTTTTATTTATCTTCATATCATCATCTGTGGGGATGTACGCCAAACCATGTCTATATTCTTTGACGGGGAATGGAATAGGCTCAATAATCTCTTGGGAGTTTCTTCTCAATCCAAAACATGGTTCGAACCCATTCTATAGCATCACAGTGGTGATCATCTTGTACGCGGCAGGCATAGGTTGTGAGGCCAAATCCTCACCGGTGGCATTTACCAGCTCCACTGTGTAGAAACTGGTGCCTCGTGAAACCTAATCAATAATA